GACTGTTTGCCAGGTCCCACACAGATCTCAACATATTTTCACTATTTCTTGTAATTTAAAAAAAAATAAGCTAGAGCACAATCTAAGGTCCAAGTCATGACAATTAATTTGAATAGGTGAGCACTTGTATCCATGTGGAATTCCAGTTACAGGAATGAGGAACTCATCCCTCCTTACAGGATCAAGAACAAGTTAGACCACAGGTAAAGAGAAACAGTGTAGGTGAAAAGAGAAGTATGATACCGATTCACAGGCATAGCTAGCTACAGCGAGACTGAGGCAGGAAGTGATATAAGCTTGGCTTTCTTTTTCTTTAAATTAAGTATCTGAAGAAAATAAATTATTTCACAATGCAGTCATAAATGTCTCAAAAGAAGTTAGAAACTAAGATTTGTTTTGAATTAAATATTAATTATTTTCATTTTCATGTCTGAAAAATGATGAGCACTATCATAGGGATTATATTAATACATATATATATACAGATATAATTAGAAAACTAATATCTCTATTTCAAGAATAGTTATACACCATAAGTGAAGCTTAGGTGCTTAATAGCCTAGAAAACATAATAAAAATTAATGTCAATAGATTCAGACAATTTTTTACTAACAATATCTGAATCAATCTAACAGATTTTACTGCTTATTAATTAGATGAAAGGCAAAATATACATAAATATATGTAAAGACAGATTTTCAAAAACACTCTGGTGTTGGCCTAATGTTACATTCATTGGTTGCATCCCCATGCAAAGACAATTTATATCATCCCTATTTATGTGACTTTTGAACAAATCATTATGGAACTTATGACGCAGAATCTGACATAATGTAAATAAAGACAATTTTGTTTCCTTCTCTCTGGAATCACAAATTAGCAGGTATTATTATTATTATAATCAGATCCAGGCACAGCAACAGAGGTGCTGCTACATCCCCTTTGGCTATGTGGCATATGCACAGTGAAGAAAGCTCATTGTGCTATCCCTGCCAAAGGGAGTTTGGCTGCAACCCCTCACTGTGATCCTGGATACCAGTGAACTCTCAAGAGCTCACCACTATTGACAGAAGAGCTCCTGGTGGGAGCTCTATGAACTTACCAGCTGGTCAACAAGTTGTCTGCTTGGAGTCCCAGCTCTCAAGAAGCTCCAGAGCCTGCAGTTGTTTGTTTTCCCCTCCTCCCCAACCCCACTAAATTCAACAGGGGGAAGGAGGCAAGGGGATAAGGAATGAAACAGAGCTGGAGCTACTTGAAAGCAGGGGCCGAGCCTCATCTCCTCTTTTTCCCTGCTGCTGAATTCAAGGTGGTGGAAGAAGAACGGAGGGGAAGAGTGAACAGCAACAGGTTCCAGAGCTGCTTGAAAACAGGGACTCCAGGCAGATCTTGTACCAACCAGCCAGTGAGCCCAGAAAGCTTCCAGCACATGTGGAGCTCTCTGCAGAAGCTCTGCTGACATGTAGGTGAGCAAAAAAGAATTCACTGGCTGTGTAATACATAAGTAAAATGTGTGTGGATCAGGGCGGGGAGGAGGGATTCAAAGGCTCCAACCAACTCAATTAGGTCTTTTGAGTCTCACTGCTTTTGTGAATCTTGTGAATTTTTATGACTCGGTGATCACTATGCCATTAAGGGTTATAGCCAGTTCCAGCAAGCACTATCTGTGCATGCTCTTTTCCCCAGTATGGAACTTACCAGGTATACTCTCTCAAAATTGTTACCCTTTCCTATCTGATCATTAATATCACTCAGAGTCATGCTCTTCGAGTTTCTGCAGTTGCTATTGCGTTAGCCTTAAGGGCTTCCTGCCCTGCCGGGACGCCAATTATTTGCTCACTAATTACCAGGCAACTTTGCCAATGACCTATGGGCACTGGGTGAAGATACACTATCCACCCCATCAGCCAGAGAACTGAAAAAAAAAGTCCTCAATTTTCTCTTCAATACTCCCTGAGGATACCAGCACTTGTTCCTGCCCAGGGCAGGGGGGCGGACTTAATGATCTGTTCAGGTCCCTTCCGACCTGATTGCCTTTTACGATCAGGTCACAAAAGCATTGGATGCAGTCTTTCTGGACTTCAGCAAGGCCTTTGACACTGTCGACCATCCCATCCTCATTAAAAAACTAGGTGACTGTGGCATCGATGCCTACACGGTCAGATGGATTGCGAATTGGCTGAAGGGTTGTACTCAGAGGGTGGTGGTGGACCTGGGGGAAAGTGGGCAGCGGAGTCCCCCAGGGCTCGGTCCTTGCGAGGTCATGGTCAGCAGGGCTAACCTGACCTTATCGTGTATCCACAGGTGCATCTCAAATAGGTCCAAGGAGGTGATCCTCCCCCTCTACGCGACACTGGTCAGGCCACAGCTGGAGTACTGTGTCCAGTTCTGGGCACCCCACTTCAAGAGGGATGTGGACATTGAGAGGGTCCAGAGGAGGGCCACACGCATGATCCGGGGACAGCAGGGCAGACCCTACAATGAGAGGCTACGGGACCTGAACCTGTTCAGCCTTCACAAGAGAAGGCTGAGGGGGGACCTGGTGACCGTCTATAAACTCACTAGGGGGGACCAGAAGGGTTTGGGGGAGACCTTGTTTCCCCTAGCGCCCCCCGGGATAACGAGGAACAACGGCCACAAGTTGTTGGAGAGTAGGGTTAGATTAGACATCCGTAGGAACTACTTCACAGTTAGGACAGCTAGGATCTGGAACCGACTTCCAAGGGAAGTGGTGCTGGCTCCTACCCTGGGGGTCTTTAAGAAGGAACTTGATGCCTACCTGGCTGGGGTCATTTGAGCCCAGTTTTCTTCCTGCCCAGGCAGGGGGTCGGACCTGAAGATCTACAAGGTTCCTTCCAACCCTACGTCTATGATTCTATGACCCTAGAAACTATGAAACTATGAATATATTTTTCAACTGTTTACTGAGGACAGCTTTGGCTATTTCAGAAAATGTTTGTACATTCCAGGGCTCACTATTACACGTGTTGTCAACATGTAGATTACTAGGATAATTCAAATAGTTTCCACTGTCATTTTAACTCAGGAGAAACACACCCGCAACTATTACAGCAAGTAGGACAACTGGCCAGACTGTTGCAGATGGCCAGCTTCAGGAGAAACAGCCTTACAATGTGAATTCATCAACTCCCACATGTGGCAATTCTGCATCTAAAGATTTACAAGCCAAACTTCTGGCCAGCCCATGTGCTTTTGTTAGGATTGATATTGATTGCATTCTCATCAACTATAGTCGGCAATCATCAATTGCTAATACTCTCGACTTTGCAGAGGTGTAGAGTTTGGCACTATCCTTTGGCTCTAATGACAAAATTGTACCTCTGATTTTCATGTTAGCCACTAAATGGCTCAAATTTAGACAAATTCCACCAACACTTATTATAACTAGACCACGAGAAGGCTTTCCACTTCTAAGTTGATAAAGGGCATTGATTAACTGCTGCTGGTTTGATGTGGAGGTCTTAACTCTTTATATGTCAGACATAGTTCAGTAAGGAAATGCTTTCAGTGGCTGAAGCCAAGGAAAATGCATCTTCAAACTGTATCATATTTGAGAGCAAAAACAAAGATCAAATGGTTTCCCTGTCAAAGTGCCATCAAATTATTTTGTAAGGAAAACCAGTTCTTGGGCCTTTCTTCAACTCTGCAGTAAAAGGCAGAATCATTTTGCCAGCAAAGAATCAGTATTCTAGTGCTTACCAGTTTGCTTCATTAGCTAGATCAAAGGGCAAATAATCATCCTTAATGAGTTGGGAATTACGTTTCTGTAGTATCATCTTCCTTCAAATAACAAAACAGGTGTTGTTTATGAAAGCTTATGTCTCTCTGAACCAGTTACTGTCTTTAAAGTGCTACCTCACTTTGCCTTCTGCCTGACTTCTGATGAATGCAGCAAACTACCTCTCACCACAAGAAGAACTAGATTGCAAAGAATCCATTTGCTGCTTTGTGACAAAGGCTGAGAGGCTCAGTTAGTTGGACCTAACTGTTCTGCTAATTGATCAGCCATATCTTTAGCTTGAATCAGCTCTTGAGAAGATCACTGAATTTAATAAGCTGCGTGTTGCACTTCATGGGCTCCCCTCAGGCCTCCGATTTAAGGCATTCAGCTTGACTGTAAGACTGGATAGGCCCATTCAAAACCCTTAGCATGATCAGTGCTGCCCACAACCCAGGTCTCCCAAGGAAGAGAACAGTCTGGGTAATAGCTGACGCACGACCCGGTTTCCCCAGGAGTTCAACAAGGCTGCCTTCTGGTTTGTCATCATTACTCCAAAACATCAATATTGCCTGGCTGGTGGATAAGCCAGGAGAGGGCACCTGATACTGGTGACTTGATCCACAGCAGCAAAACACGGGCTCTGCAGCACGGCGATACATTAGGTCTTGCCAGCAGCGCTCAGAGTAGGCTGGCATCCACCACGACTCTCCGCGCGGCAAAGCCGAGCCACCATCTGGCCCAGAGCCGGTTCGGCTTCTGGTGGGGACAATCCCAGTGCCCATGGCCACCCGCCCTAACTAAATGCTACTGTTGCGCAGCTGCCCAACCCAGGACATAGGGTCCAGCCAGGCTGTCTTCAGGCTGCAGCCACAATTAGTGCACAGGCTAATTTCTGTTGGGCTCCAGGTGAAAAAAACTGAAAGAAAAAGCTCTGATGCAGGGAATTACCCTTGCCATAAGGACACGGAAGGTGGTGGCTGCCCCACACGTACGCCAGCTGCTCAGCCACGTGCCACCCAACGCCTCTGCCCCAGCCTCCCCAGAGCTCGTTCCCCTACACGTGCCCTCTGCCGCGCCCCAACCTCTCCCGCTCTACTGCGCATGCGCCCATAGCCTCGCCCGCCCCAACTCACCACAGCTTCCCCGTTGCCCTACGGATTCAGGCAGCGCGTGCGCGCAGAACTCTCCGCGACGCATGCGCAGCACGTGCCAGCCCCGCTCTCTACTGCGCATGCGGAGAGCGCGGTCGCCGTGGCAACGGGGACGCGCACCCGGCGCTCGTGGGGCCGCCATGTCGGACATCCTGTGCGAGTGGCTCAACCGGGAGGTTACGCTATCCCGGCCCGTGGGTGAGCGCGCGGCGCCGGCGGGGCGTGGGGCCGGGTCCGTGCTGCTCCCCGCGGCGGGGGACGGGAGCTGCGTGGGGGCGCGGGGCAGGGCGGCAGCCGGGGGGTGCTTTCCCCCGGCGGAGGGCGGGGCTTTTTCTCTCAACGGTTTCATTTGGAGCCCCACGGAAATCGGTGCCGGGCTGGTACTGAGCTGAATTGGAAGTGGAGTAAAGCAGACATTGCTCTGAACAGGTTTCCGCGTCGAGAAGGGACCCGCAGGGCTGGGGTCACCTCTGCTTCTGTGAAATGTTGTCAAGAGATGCTGGGTAGAGGGCCCAGCGCCTGCTACAGAGGAAGCAAAAACCCCCACAGTCAGTACCAGCCCTACCCTGTGGTACAAGGCCTTCCTGGCCCCAAATACAGCGACCCTAAGTGGAGCAGCAAGACCCTCCACCAGGTTCTGGTCCCGGCAGGAGCGCTGGCGCGCCCCAGTCAGAGTCCGCAGTCAGTGCCTCTGAAGAAAGCTGCTGTTTGAAGACTAATTTCTATTACTAAAGTTACTTAAAGACATTCATTTCTTTATCAGAAATGTATCTGATACACTCAAGGTTTTACAAGAGTGATAACGAATGGTATTACAATTAAGTTTAGGTCTCTGATGTGATACAGATACTGTAACATTTTATAATAGTCTTCATTATTGATGTGACGCTTTGTATGTTGTTACCGCTGCTTGTTTCATTAACTCAGATCCAAACACATTGCCAAAAGAATTTTCTACTGGGTACCTCATTGGAGAACTTCTTCACAAATATGAGCTTCAGGATGACTTTAACCAGTTTTCACAAAGCAGGTTAGTACATTTAAGGCACAAGTAGTACACATATTTCCCATATAAATTATACAAGATTTTTGTTTTAGTAATAAAGATTTCTTAGTGCAGAATAAGTAATTCATCCAGTACCTAGCACATGCATGTAGGCATTTTTTGCAATGAATTTCTCCCTTTAAAATATAAGGAAACATAGGACTAAAAATCCAGATTGTCCAATGAGGTACTTAAATGGAGATTATGTGAAATTTAGGATCTGGACACTAATACTGGTATAATCTGCTTTTACACCAGGGTAGATATGGAGTGGACATTCTGTGTATAGCTTTACATAAGTAAAAGCCAGTTTTGGATAAAGTTACCCCTTAAAAAGTCATGAGTACCCCAGCATGCAGACTAGTAATATGAATTCATGTTATTAATGTGTCCTCAGCCCAAATCAGTTTCATCCTAGGTTGAAGTAGGCTATCACCTACAAAAGCTGATACCCCTCCGACCCAGTCTTTCCCTTTTGCCTGATTTCAGATTAACAGAACTTCAGACTGATACAGAGAAAGGGAGCTGGCAGTCTGGCTCCTAAGTGGGTGGGGGACCTAATGTGAAGCCAGAGACAGATGCTTTAACTCCAGAGCAGGGTGGAAATTCAGACACACCTTTGTGCCTACTGTTACCTACTGGCTAGCTCTAGATGGTTCCTCGCTCAGCATCTGAGTTTGCAAGTTGCTCTTTGAAGGTACCTGACCCTCTCTAGTTACTGTATAAGCACCTGTGGAGTTTTTTTTTAAATTTCTCCATAAGGCATTAGGCATTACAGCACCTAAGTGAAAGTGCCTGAGGATCATTTCCCTATAGTATGTAGTAGTATGCAGAGCACTATATAGAAGCAAGGTGGAAGGTAGGACAGGGTAGCACTGTAGAGACTAATCAATTCAGAAAGGCATGAGCTTTTTTAGGTGACAAACTACTTAATCAGATGCTATGAACATGAGCGTCTGACAAAATAGGCTGTTGCCTGCAAAAGCTTATGCCTTTTGAAACCAGTTTGTCACTACAGTGCTACTCTGCCCTTCCTTCTGCTCTCAGACAGCTAACTACCTCTCTCTCTACATAACAGTAGCAAATTACTATACTTTATATTATGTTTTTTTAAATCATTTAGGGTTGCAAACGCTAAACTTAACAATTTCTCTCGTTTGGAACCAACACTTCAACTCCTTGGTGTGCAGTTTGACCAGAATGTAGCCCAGAGCATCATGACAGAACAGCCTGGGGCTGCAACCAAACTTTTGTATCAAATGTATATTGCTCTAGAAAAGAAGAAAAAGGCAGGGCTTACTGGAGTAGCCATGGAAACAATGAGACCTGCAGCACCTGCAAAGCTCAAGTACATTGAGAGTACTTTGTATCGAGAGGTAGGTGAATTAAGTATGCTTGACATACATATCATTAGATATTCGATAGAGTAAAATGCAGTACCCTTACCTGTACATCTTGGATCACAAAAACTATGCAAATCCACTTATTGGAAACCTTTCTTCAACACAGGACTGTCCAATCTGTGAAAGGCCAAGGGTTGCATGCCACAAGCACAACCCCTCCCACACATGGCTGGCTTCCCCACCCCTTACCACACTGCACCGCACAGCAGGCAATCCTTCACTACACTTCACAGGTGCTTCCATCCTGCACAGGAGCTCCAGGCCCCCTGATTCTCCCAGGCTGCGGGGCTCCATTGGCTCTTCGAACTGTCCTGCCCCACTCTCAGGGGGGAGCAGGAAGTGGAAGCTGGAGAAGGGAGGGGGAGCCTGGAGACCCTGATTGCAGCAGCGTGAGTGATGGGAGGAGTAGCCTCTGGACCAGGAAGCTGGGGAAAATGAGTATACTCCTAGCAGGCTGGATGCTTCCTGTGGACCACCAGCTGGACAGCCCTGGTTCAACATATATTACGTGTGTGAAAAAAATATACTGTATTTTCTCACATACAGCATATACTTTTCCCCCCCCAAAAATCAGCTGCTGGAAATTGCAGTATGCGTTATATGCAAGAAATACAGTAAAAGCAGTTTCTGGTGGTTATGGGCAAAAGGGAAAGTAAAATCTATGCAAGACTCAACAGCAGCGCAATGAGCAGGCTTGTCTCCCTAGCTGCTGCTACTCAGCTACATACTACACAAAAAGATTTTTTTTCTTCTTTTTACCTTTCAAAAACAAGATGTGGATTTTATTTTGGGGTGTGTTGTATGCCATAAAATGCAATATTTCTTTGGCCTGGTCTCTCCAAGATATATGCCTAGTTTTCCCTGCACCTTGTTGATTCACAGAAATGTCAGTCCACTTTCACGTTCTTTAACCAGATCTTTCCTTAGCTGCACCCTTCTGATTTTCTCCTGCTTTGAAGTACAGAACAGTGCAGGCTAATCATTTTGCAGCAATTCCTTCTTACTCTTTTTCAGCAGCCTCTCTTGCAAACTGTAGCACAGTGGAAAAGTAAGTAAGCTAATTTTGAATAAGTTGGTTCTTGGAAGAGTAAATCATTGCACATAATATTCCCTGCTCTTGTAACTGGAGTACTTCCAGTACTTGAATGGGCTTGTAACTTGAATATCGCTACATTATATTCCTGACTCAAGTGTAGACCTATCACAAAATTAAGCAAAAAACAGAAGACTGAAAGTGAGTCATAGTGGAGAAACATTTTTTAACTTCATTGGCAGTGCTCACACTCCTTTATCAGGATGAGCAACTTCAAATAAATTATATACTGTGAATCAAGTTCACCTAGATTTATGCTCTTTGTTGGCATGAACCTCACCATAAACCCACAGTGGCAGGAAGTTCATCAATGAGAATGGGAGCAGCACCAAGCAGCCATCGTACCCATTCATCAAGAATGCTATATGTTGGTGGCACAAACCAGGAGGTACAGTTAGGCCACAGTGAGTAGCACCTGCCAGCTATTTGAGCACATGTTCAAAGAAACATTTTCTCTCCTGGTTTTCAACAGTCTTCACCAGTTTCAGTGAATCTGGCCCTTTCTATTAAAATATTCCACTGTGTCTTGATGTTCTTCTTTGTATATCAGTACATGGGAAATGCCTATTTAAATATCATTTTCTGAAATGCTTCTTTAGAACAGTTTTGGGTTCTGGCAATAATTTAAATGGTTAGTAGAATGTTTGTGTTACTGCTTCTTACTCTTGGATATTTGGAATGCTATTGCATTTTAGCGTTTGAAGAACTTAACACCACGGCAGACTGACTTGAGACTGCAGCAGGTTTCAGAACATTTTGAAATGAAATCTAAGAACATGGAAGCTAAAATAACTCGTGTACACATTGTAGAACAACAGAAAGTTCAAAAACTCCAGGAGGAACAAAGAGTGCAAGACCTTGAAAAGGTAAGAAGCCAAATGTTTTTTTTTCATACCAGGTCTTCAGTTCTTTAGATGCATTTTCTTAAGGTTAAGCATGTGATCAGTTCTATTGAAAATTATTAATTGGCCTTATGTTACTCCTATGCAATCTCATGTTTATAAAAAAACATAAAAAATGGGTAATGCTGGTGACGGGTATTAAAATATTATTAAGAAACCCAGGCCTGGAAATTCTGTGGAGTAAGCAGCAGTAGTAGTGAGTCCTATGGCAGCCAGAGCCACTGGGTCAGCAGGATCAGTGGCTGTGGGGGTTAACGCCATTATTACTTGTCCCACTGTAGAATTCCCATGTTGGGATCCCTGTTGGGAATGCCTTTTGGTTTCAACCTGGTGAGCAGCGGCAATGTTAACCCATGGGAGCTGGTTGCTCCCAGCACTGCATTTCCAAGTTGAGATCCCTGTTGTGGATGCCTTTCTGCAGCAGGGCAAGGAAGGAGTGGCAGTGTTGTCAGCATGTGAGGGTTAACACTGCTGCCACTTGCCCTCTGTGCCTGGATGAATGTTGTGTGGTCAGCAAAAAGCTCTGCGGTCAGGTTAGGGCTTGTAAATCTAAATGAGTTGGACAGCCCTGATGTAACAATAGACTTTTTTATAAGACACTTAAAACATTAATATTTAGAAAATGTATATTTAAATAACAGGATAATTCACAGTGTGCATATATTGCTGAACTTCAAATGGATTATTAGGGAAGATGACAGAAGGCAAATATTGCAACTTCACACACCTTGTGAATTTCAACATGAAATGCAACATTGCTTGTGTGACAGGAGAGGCTAAGTGGGCTAAGTTCTTGCAGTTCCAATGGGGAACACTTGGGGGGCGGGGGGGGCTCAGAGTTAATAGGCTATGCTGCAAATAGTTTCATAAGTAAGATACCTATATACATACCCTTTTCACCCCATGGGGAAATGGCAATCTGGGCCTGGCAAGCTGAGCCCAGAGACTGCTGCTTGACTGGAACCAATTAAGAGCACTAAACGGGAGTTGCCTATACTCCCTACCTCTCCCAGAGCCTCACTTTTTCTCCTCTGGCCCAGTCAGCTCCACTTGCAACAAAACAGTTACAAAACTATAGTAACCTGGAGGACCACATTCACCCAATATAATTAAACATAAAGTCTTGGAAAAAAACAAGCACTAAGCAAAATCCATTCACCCATAGGAATGAATGTAACTATAGGTAATTGGTTACTGTGGCTTCTGGCTGCCACTTCTTGCCACCACT